GATAGGGAATGGCAAAGGACACACTGACAAAGGAGATTAATCAGAACTGGCTTCGACAAGCTCTGTGGCAATTGGACAATTAAAACAGACATGTGGGGGGGGGAAGAAGAACGAACTGGGGAGGAGGGTAGAGAAAACAGTGCAACAATGAATGAATGAAAACCCAAAATCTCTGTAAATGTTCACTAAAACTAATAAAATGTAATAATAAATTAAAAAAATTATTTTCTCAGCATACATTTTTAATAGGTGTGGGGAAAGAGAGGAAGACCCTTAATGCAATGGACTGATTCAGTTACTGGGGTAGTGAAGGTAGGTGTGTCAGAGACAATAGGGTTGGCACAGGATAAAGCATGTTTCAGGACTATTGTACACAGGGTTGCTATGAGTCACAAGAGACTTGACAGCACGTAATAGCAACAACATGGAGAAAGGATATACCTGTGATGCACACCTTTCCTGATTTTAAATCATGCAATGCTCCCTAGCTCTGTTCAGACAGCAGCTTCTTGGTCTAAGTCTAGGTTATGCGTGAGCACAATTAAGTGTCCTGGGATTCCTATCCTTCTCAATGTTACAATCCACACAAATCCTTGAACTCTCAGCAAAAAGAAAGCTACAGAGTTTTGTCTGATCTTATATCTATCTAGCTCATGGCCTCTACACTTGCATCAGGGTCTCCCAAACTTGCTGTCTTTGGACTAGTCTGTCTCCAAACTCTTTACAGTGACCTCTGGACTCAAGTGTCTGAAGTTGGCAGGGATTTTTGGTTGGGTTTTGGGGGACTTTTTGGTTTTTAGTTGACTTTGCTAACACATGGAGCCTGCGTGATAGAATGGCTAAGCTCTCAGCAGCTAACCAAAGAGCCGGTAGTCTGAATGTGCCAGTAACGATGAGAAAAGCAGCCCAGCTGGAAGCAGCTGCCCAAATACCAAAGATGGGGAGCACTGAAGGTTCACAGCACAGCAGCTAATACCTGCAGGAAGGGATCTAGGCTGGTAAAAACTCAGCCTCCTTTCCCGGACCGTCTCAGGAAGATGCTGACCATCTTTACCTGCTGGGACCCATCTCCTCTTCCTCCTCCTCCTCCTCCCAAAAAAAGAAGCCAGTGGCCTGACCCAACTCCTCTCTTTTGTCTAGGTCAGCTCAGTCTCTCTTTTGCCCACTGCCGTACTTGGCTGTGAAATCTTATTTATGGAGATAAGACTGATGATGATGAAGATGACAGTAACAGTTACAAAGAGTATCTACCTCTCCTAAAGAGACAGTGATGGTTCAAAATCCTGTGGATGACAATTCAGTCAACAGCACACACAGGCTGTGTGCTGATCCTCAGAGGGCACCAATTGGCACCATCATCTTCACACTACAAAGAAGACACTAAAGTTCAGAGATGTGAAATAACTAGAAGCTGGAAGAGCTGGGATTTGAACTCAGACCACTGTGGGTGTGCTCCACTCTGGCTGCATTACTGCAGGCCCACAGAACTCCTCCACTACCCCCAGTTTCCAGACTTTGAGCCCAGGCGGCTGCATTTCTCCTCCCAGTGCTGTGAGTGGTGTTGTCACTAAGCAGGTGGCACTGACGGGGGTGTGGACCTCACCTGGTAACATACAGGGATGACACCACAATAAGCCTCTACAAAATGTGTACTGTGTCAGCAGAAATGTATTTCTTATAAACATATCCCTGTAGTTAAAACCAACAAAACCCTTCTCTATGAGCCCAGCATACATGTATCGACACTCCTAAAGCCTAAAATTCTTTACACTTTTTAACATTCTCAGCACTCTGGTCAGAACCGTCATTATCACACAATCACAATGATTGTCTCAGTCCCCCAGTTTCCTCTGAATGTGCTCCCTGGACACCCTGTTGTTTTCATTGCTGCTACATTGATAGTTACCGATCTCGTCACATTCTCTAGTGTTTTAGCTACAATATGGTGTCAGTATCTGTAAACCTGTATCTATAACGGTTTTTAAAGCAAAGTAATTTTAAAGGAAAAAATTCTGGAAAGATTTCTACTTGTTTACTAAGATTAGTCTTATTTTTATTATTATTATTATTTTGTGTGTGTGTACGTGTGTACCGTCAAATCAGATCTGACTGATACAGGGGATTGCCCCTCCTTCTCCAGCAGAGCATCTTGTGGATTCGAACCATGTACCTCTGCAGTGCAGCTTCTTGCCACTAGGCCACCAGAGCTCCCTTAGTGTTAATTTTACAAAACAATGTTATGCTTAATCTTAGAAATAAACCATTTAAGTTGTTGTTATTGTTGTGTTTGAGTCAAGCACGACTCATAGCGACCCTATGAACAAAAGGCCTGAAGCCCCTCTATATCAACATTTATCAGTTTCCAGAGATACACCTGTTCCCATTTAAGTATAACTGTATTTATCTTGTGTTAATTCTATGTTGATTATAAATGTTACTAAGGATTCTGGATGATCGGGTCTAGAAGTTCCATCGGCTTCTTTAACACCCTAAGTTACCATCCTGGGTGACATTAACCTTGGGAATCCCAGCAGCTGCTAAGGCCACACGCTGGAATCCTGGACTTGGGCAAAGCCCACATCCTTCCAGAAACCCACTCCAAGGATGTTGTGATACTAGGCCAGGGTCAGAGAGGATCCCAGGCTTCTGGGGCAGCTCCCCACTTCTGCCCACAGCCTTTTACCTACCCCTGGATAGCAGAGTAACTGTACAGAATACCCACCATGTCTGGTGCCTTCACTACAAGACACCTCCCTCCCCTGATCCTGTATGAACCCAAGTTTTGGAGTTTACCTCTTCCCCTCCAAGTCAGACTCAGGTCAGGCAGGAGGAGGCATGAAGTTAGCTCTGGAGACAGAAAGGCCAGGAAGAAGTACAGCCCTCCAGGGCAAGAGCAAATGGGAGAAGGCAGATTGCAGGATAAGGAACTGAAAAGGGACGGGATTCTCAGAGGATGAGCGGCTCAGACATTAGCACTCCAGCCAAGACCCAACAAGTCGTGAGCCGGGGACATCAGGCCTATGAGTGGAGCAGGGAGGCAGAGACACCAGCAGACGAGTCTGCTCTCTGGCCTGCTGCTGCCTCCAGGGACCCCATGCCCCCAAGCTGAGGCAGCAAAAAGACCCAAGTCTTGGTCCTTCCCACAATCCAGACCTTCCCACCTGACGCCCCAACCCAGAACACACCGGGGGCCCTCCAGGAAGCAGAGGCCAGACAGGAGGAAACAGGAACACATTGCCCTTTATTTGTGTCTCTCAGAATACTGTACAAAGGAAGTAAAAATCCTGTTCACACTGTTTAGAAAGATTCTGAGGTGAAAGTTCTCTATGTTACACAGGCTGGGAGGTGGTGGACTGGGAGGCAGAAAACAGGGCCAGTGATCACCTGTCCTCCCTTAGGCTAGTGGCCAAGGGTTCCACAGCTTTTCTAAAATAACTCACACCTCCGTCAGACTCAAGAGAGCAGGAGGCTCCTCTTCAGGCCTGTGGCCAGGCTCCAGCAGCCCCCCTCTGTGCCTCTCAGGTTCGGGGGGCAGTGCCTGCCAGCCACTCCTTGCTTCTCCCATTGCCCTGCTTAAGCAGTCCATCTACCCGGGTGGGTGTGGCCGCATACTCCCACTTGTGCCACGCAGGAAGGGCCCTGCCCAGAGTCATCTCTGTGAGCAGGCTGAGGTGAGGGGCTGTGTGAGGGCCCCAAGATTCATCAGGTCCCAGCTTCCCACACCCCTCACACTATTGCAGAGAGCAGCTGCAAACAGAACCTGTAAGAAGACTCAGGGGCCTGCCTCCTTCCGGCCGTCTTCAACCCCTCAAGTCAATCTAGGAGCTTCAAACACACAGCAGCTTCCCTTCCCTATCGCCACTGCCATTTGTCATTCATTGGTAAATTTCTCTTCCAAGTCTACTCCCCGCCCTGCCCACATCCCAAAAAACAAGACTGGATCTAGCCCTCCTTCCATCCCACCCACCCTCCCACCGGTCTGCTGCTGTGTGGTCCCATTCTTCAAAACTCAAACCAACATCTCTTGTTCTTCCTTCCCTGACCTTCACAAGAGCCAGGACATGGCAGTGGCTCTGGCTCCGAACCTCTGGGACCAGGGCATTCACAATTAGCTCCAATAAGCCTCTCCTCACCCTCCCTGGCCCCATCCGCTACCCACAGTGGATGATAGGGGATCTGCCAGACACGTGAGACTTAAATTATAACAGTTTCCTGCTTTTATATATACAAGCACACCCTAAAGACCTCAGAATTAAAGTGAAACAAATCGAGAAGTTGTACCGTCCCTTCAGCTCCCCTCACAAAGGTTAAAGTGCTTCGGCGGCCTGAGAGTGAGCAAGTGAGCGGAGGAGCGTCCCTGACCCCCCAGTGCCAGCCTTGTGGGTCCATGTTCAGCCTGGGAGCCCAGCCCATTCCGTGACCACCCCCAGAGAGTCTCTATTCAAAAGGCAAAAGGAAAAGATCAAAAAAATCGGAAAGGGTCAGAGCCCTGGGGAGGGCTCACCCCAACCCCACTACAAGCTACTCCAAGTCGGCTACTGGGGGAAGCAAGGGAGGGTCTAGGGCCCAGAGGCTCAGCCCCCATCTCTGGCAGTGTCCAGAGGAGCCTTCTGTCTTCTGCATCGTAGCACAGGCCTTCTACCCAACCCCTGACATCTTGAGCAAGGGGTGCTGCGCCTTCAGTACTTATTGATTCCAAAGATCCGGACTCCATGGAGCTGGGGCAGCTTAGGGATGAGCACACTCATCAGGGACACAGTGTTGAGGACAAAATGGACTTGGTCATACTTGGTGTAGAAGCTGGTGAGGAAGTACCTGGGTAGGAAGGTCGGAGAGAGGTGTCAGACCTTGGAGGAATCCTTCTTCCCTAACGCCCCGGGGGGTGGTAGCTGTCAGGAGTCATTGAGTCAAGTATGACTTGGAGAGACTCTACAAACAACAGCCTTGAACCCTGTCCTATCCTGTGTCATCCTCATCATCTCGGACACACTTGAGCCCACTACAGCAGTCACAAACCAGTGCAGCAAAAGAATTATGGGATGGGCTCCAGACCAGTATGGTGTGGTTAAGATCTCCCAGACAGAAAGAGGCCCCTCGTCTCAGGCCTGTATGGCCATATCCCTGGCAGGAAGGAAGCCCGCTTGAGGGAAGATAGGGATCCAGGAATTCTCCAACTTCCCTCCCTCTGCTCATTCCCCAAGGACAAAGCTGGCTGGGCCACAGGATCTCCCAGGCCTTCTCCTGCTGCTGGAGGCGTCCTCTGCCCAAAACACTCACAGCACAATAGGTGTGATGGTCAAGAACTTCCGAGAAGCTGTGAACTGGACTCCATAGTCCATCTGCTCCCAGTGGGTCAGCAACCTTGCCTTGCCCTGGTCCGGGGTCTCGAACGGTGTCCCTTTCACTGTGTGCAGGAAGATGTACATGCCCTGGGGGGGAGGGGAGCATACATTAGAAAATAGAAAGCTGAAAGGCCCCCCCAGTTCAGCACCTCCATGCCAGTCAAAGCTAGATGGGGTTCCAGGATGCCTGTGGCCTCCCTATGCTGGGCAGGGAGACCTAGGTTAGAAATCCATTAGGACGGCACCTGGCTGAATGGGACCACTGGGTTAGAGGGCAGGCCTGGCTTGAGAAGAAGGGGAAGGATGAGTTGCAGGATGGTCCCTGCACTGCCAGCCTCCTCCCACACTGTGCCAACTGGGAGGGGAGGTGCTTTTGGCAAGAAGATAGGTGAAAAACAAGGAACTCATGAAATATTATACACAATGGGTGACCCTGGAAGACATTATGCTGAGTGAAATATCTCAGTCTCAAAGGGACAAATACTGCATAATGCCACTGTTGTAAAGCAGGACTGACATCAGAGTTGGGGAGAAACTAAGAAAAGAGGGAATAAATAATGTGCACTGCATTGAAACAGATGAAGGAGAAAACTGTTTAAAAGGATTGTATGATTAGGTATTATTTTCCTGACAAGAGTCCAGAATGAGAGCTGAATGGCGGAGTGGACTAGGGTGGGGGAGTGGAAATTGTATAACAATGAAAGAATTTTTTAAAGAGAAAAGTGAACTGGTGGGAAGGGGTGGGCAGGGAGAAAAATGTGTAACAATGAATGAATGGAAATTCAAAGTCTCTATAAACCTTCATTAACATCTCAATTAAAAAAAAAAAGATGTAAAAAAAAAAAGATGATGGGAAGGCACCATAGGCCCTTGCTTGCTAACCTAGGAGGTACAAGGAGCCAAGGGAGAAGAGAAGGACAAGAGAGGAAAGCGATCTGAGATCCTGACCTGTAAAAGGGGCATGTCTGAACCAAGCTAAGCTCCAGCAGTGCTGGGACCAGGGAGCTCTCTGAGACCCTCAGTGCTGTTTACAATGACCCACTATCCTGGCCCACCGCCTCTTCATCTCAGAGATGTTAACAAATCCACAGTCCACATTCCTCTTCTCAGAGCCCATGCGGCTAGAACCCAGGAGGAGGAATGGAGTCGAGGCCTGAGAACTGCGTCGAGGCTCTGACGACAGATGACATCAGTCTATCCGGCCCAGGTCTGGCACATTCCTACTCCTCAGTCCAACTGCAGAGCATCTCCACAGCCCAGTGAGGCAGCAGGCGAGTCCTCACCATGTTGTGGATGAGGTTGGTGAGGGTCCAGACAACAGGGACGCTCACGAAGGGGATGCTGAGCAGAACGACGTGGAGCAGCCCAATGGCCAGCACATAGGACAACCAGATGCCACGGCTGTTCATCACCCGCGTGTTGGGGTTCACCTCACTGTGCGCCGTGCCTACGTTCATCCTGTCCAAGGTGGTTCTGCAAACAAAGAGCACAGAAAAGATGGGCAACGTCACTTTCCATGCCCTCTCAGACCCTTTAACTCTGCAAAGAGGCAGGCTCTACACAGTTCCACTGTTTCTGATTCTCCAGAACGAGGCAGGAGAAAAATCCATGTGAATTTAACTCGACTCCTTTCTTAATTCTGGATTGAGACAAACATCATCAGCCTGCCTCACCTGTCAGGACAAACCCCTTGCAGGCACCCAGATGCCTGCTAGGATAGGTCATCAAGAAGCATTCTGCCCCACAGCCAAGAAAGCAACACTCAGCTTCTAGCTCACCTGCCACAGCATTCCTAGGAGGGCCTGCCCCTCTATCCAGGACAAAACCAGGCAGAGGGGCAGAGGCTGCCTCGCTCTCTCACTTGGCACAACTCCTAAAGGCCTGATCTGGGACATCCCCTACCCACAAGTCCATCCCACTAGGAGTGAAAGGAGGCAGGGCATGTAGCCACAGGTTGCAGCAGAAGGAAAAATACAAGGTTACTGTTTCTACCCACCTAGCCTAATTCTCCAATCCAGGTCCTCCCTTACCTTCATCCAGAAGACGTCCATGTAAAAAAAAGGAGAGAGTGAAGAAAGGAGAAAACAGACAAGGAACAACCTTTTGCCCAGACCCAGAGCCTCTTCTGTGGTGACATAATACACTCATTCACATGTTTTACCCACTTGGCAGACACTCAGACTAGTCCTTATGATGCCACTCACTCTGCTGCCAAGCCACCAGAGAAAGTGGACCCCGTGCCCCTCCACAGAAAAGGCAAAGGTAGGCTACCTATACAATCAGTGTGAAATCCCAGTGGGCAGCTGGAACCCACGTCAACACATCCCTACCAGACTTAACAACTTGGACTCAAAACCACAGGGGGGGTGTCTCCTCAAACCCCCTTTCTTCTATGCCCTATCCATCCTCACTAAGTCTCCTTTTCCCAGAACCTGTTTCAGGTATCCGTTAAACCCCATCTTCCCCTGCTAAGCTCCAGTGGTAGGAAGTTCCAGAGCTGGAGAAACAAGGAGGGCTGCCTTTGACACCAGAGAAACAATAGTGGCAGCAACCCAGAGTGGGCTGAGGGAAGTGTCAGAGGTAGCGAGCGAGGGGGAGGGGGGAAATGGGCTGTCCTTTGTCTAAAGTTTTGCTATCCCTAGATTTCTGAGAGCCTCGGAACCATCTGGAAGCAGGAAAAGATGGTACCTGTGCACTGGCTCACTTCCCTGGACAAGAGGGGGCCTTCCTGAAGAAGACCCTAAGTTTATCACCATACTAACAACCCCATCTCACCTGAAGATGAAGGAAACAGTCCCAGGTGAGGGTGCAGTGGGAGTACCCAGAGGTCATGTCTCTTACCTGACTGCAGCCAAACCGCTTTCTGTCTCAGATATCTCTGACCAGGATCCCAGTTGGGCCAGCTTAGGAGCTAGAATTCCCAAGGGTCGGTTCTCTATTTCCAGTATAATGGGAGCAAGTTTCCTCTTAGATGGTCTCAAGCTTAAAGACGTCAAGGGAAATGTGGCCCACAACACAGCCTCCCCACATACATACACGGTGGGCACTGCACTCTGCACGCCATCATCCTAGTCAATTAGGCTGAATAACTGGGCCTAACAGAAACACAAGGAATTTGAAAACAAAGGCTGTCTCAGTTGTTTACCTTCCCAAGGCCTTGGGACTCCAGTTAAGCTAACACAGCCCTTGGGACACCTACGAAGACATCTATTACGCAAAAGCCTCCACCTGAAGTGAAGGTGAAGTGGGGGTGGTGGAAGAGTGTCTACTTGGGAAGTGAGATCTTTTACTACTACGGAGAGAAAGGTCCCCAAATTTGGCCAGAAACTGCTTCCTGCACCATTTCCTAGCCAAGAGATCTCTAGCCCTCTCTAGCAATTTTTTGTAGAATGTCAAGAGCTTTGCGGGCCACAAAGCCCTGCACCCACTTCTGGCTGCCGCAGGGCATCCAGCTGAGTGAACCTTATGTGTTGAGTCCAAGGCCCAGTTGCCACGTTGGAAATCACCTTCTAAAAGCCCAAACACCAACTGTCCTGAGGGCAGAAAATCCCAAAAGAATACCAAAAAGAGGTAGAAAAACTAAGAGACTGTCAGCTAGGAGTGCTCTCAGCCTGACTGCTGTCTACTGGATTTCAACTTATGGTACCTCTCCGCTGAGTTTTGGGGGCTGTGAATCTTAAGGGGAAGGGACTGCTCATCTTTCTGGTACTTTTGTGCATCTCACCTTTATGAATAAAATAAGCAACTCACCTCTCTCTCAGAAGGCAAGAAATGGGGAAGAGCGCCTGGCAGAGGTAAAGTGAGTCTACAAGCAGCTACAGCTGCAATGTTCAGCCGCTGTAGCTGGCAGGTGGCTGCCTGCATCAGCCCCTGATGTGGTTTCATAATCTGTCTCAAACAAGAGCCTGCAGCAACTCAGTTCTGTTAACCACTTTTTTGCTGGTAGTTCTTTCCCACTCTTTCCCTCCCACCCTCTCCTCTCCCTCCACATAAATATCCTGGCTAGGCCAGTCTGTCCAGACACTCAAGCCAAAGTGTCTTAGTGCCCCAGGGCAGCCACCAGGTGAGAATTTCTCATTCCTTCCTCCAGGTAAGGAAGGACTTTTAAATCATAATTCTTTGGCCTCTGGGTAAGGGGCTTAAAATACCCAGGCCAGCACCACAGACTGATATTCATATTCTAAGCACACCTTCCCCTACCCAGCAGGGTCAGAGTTGCTCACCTCTCAGCTATAAACGGGTCTGGGACACAGGATGGCGGTGGGAATGGAAAGAGGCGCTTCCCCACTAGCCAGGAGAGAAGAGAGGAGGGAGGAGGCGGAGTCCTCACAATTGTTGTGGCTTTTAGAGTGGGATCTCCGGCCAGAGGAGAAGCTTCCCATCCCGCTGCCCAGCCTAAGACCTCGCACTCGGAGCACGACTCCGTTCCAGGGCCTACTCTCATCTCCATGCGTTCACTTAGCCCTGGAGGCGGCCAAATCTTTATCCCAAAGCCGAGTCTCTCCCCGCCCCCTACCTTCCGCCGGGGCGCCCCCTCTTCGACGCCCCAACCCCATCTCCTGCCTCTTCTTCTCTATTTGGACACCCCTTCACAGCTGATGCACCTCCTCCACTACTGTTCACACCCTGCCCAGGTCCCCTCCAGCCAGGGTCCTTTCCCCAGCAGCTCCTACCTTTCTCCCGCCCCGCTTCCAGTCTCGGGGCCCTCCCCGTACTCACACCCCAAAGACCTCGGTTCAGACTCACCTAGCGGGGCCGGAGGTCTAGGGCCCTGGAGAGGTGCCCGGGGGCGGGGGCGGGGGCGGGGGCCGCTGCTGCTCTAACAGCAGTTAACAGTCCGCGGCAACAGCCAACCGCTGGCAGCTCTGGCCGAATCAGCGCCCTGCGCCGGGCCTTGACGTCACCTCCCTGCGCCGCGAGCCCGGCGCCTCCTGGGAATCGTAGTTTCCCCTTGCTACTCTAGCTTCGGCCTCACTGCTGCCTCGCTGCAAGCCTTCTCAGCGGGATACAGAACTAACATCTCCCGGGGTTACTTTAGCGTGTAATAATGGCTGCTTTTGGGGGAGGGCTGGGCGGGGAGAGAAGTGCAGCAATGAATGAATGGAAATCCAAAATCTCTGTAAATGTTCATTAACATTATTTAAAAAAATTAAAATTTTTTAAAAAATTAGAAAAAATAAAACAAAATAATGGCTGCTTTTCCACCCACTCCCTTCAAGTACTGCTTACAGTTTCCCAGATGAGGAAATAAAGTTTTAAGTACCTTACCTTAGGTCCCTGCGGGGTCGCAGCCTGGACCTCGACCCAGAGATCTGACTTAAAGAGCAGGGTTTTTCCACTACATCTCGCCGCCCCCACTCTGATCCCAGATTGGTTCCTTTAGAAAGCCTGCTAGCCCGGCCCTTTGCCCCGTGAGGCCCTTCTGGGAGTGGGTCTTTCGCAATGTTGGCTGGGTTAAGGGTCTGAAAGCGAGGAAAACACAGGCTGTGGGTCTGAAGGGCTAGCTCCTTCTCAATTACACTTGGGCTCCGCCAAATTCTTGGTTTTCCCTGAATTGGGAACTTGAGTTTCAATCAGAAATCATCCTGTGTGGTTTTGGGTGGCATATGCCACCTCTCTGAAATTTTCTTACAGCACACACCTTAAGTATGCTTTTCCCTGGCAAATTCCTAAACTTGTCTTAATCTCCAATTTCACACCTGTGAAATCCGATTTCAGAGTCTGTGGTGAAAACAGGTTGCGGGGAGACAGCGGGAGTAGGGGGCGCGGTAAATAAAGAACTTGTTGCATTGTAGTAAACTATTTCTGTAGGAAGTTCATTGGTTTTTGAAGGCTCCTGGCTCATTTTCACTCTGTATATCACCAAAGGGTCTATCCAACTCTGTTTATTCTGGGTTTGGATAGTGGACTTATCTGACGTTATGACATGATAAACCTGACTGGCTGTGCTAAAAAAACAAAAAAAAAAAAAAACAACCTATAGAGTCTGTTCCTACTCATAGTGACCCCATAAGACACAATAGAACTGTCTACTTACTTCTTGACTGTAATTTCTACAGAAAGAGACGTTCAGGCCTTTCTTCAGTGGCATTGCTGGGTGCGTTCAAACCACCAATCTTTAGGTTAGTACAGACCTCTTGTACCATCCATGATGATGCTAGCTCAGGGCTGGGAAACACTTCCCCCAAGTCTTCCCAACCCTTCCTAGGCGGCTGCTAGAAAAGTTATGGGACACTTGGAGGCATGTCAGCTTCTGGCAAATGATTATCTGAACCATGCAGAGCAGGAGATAAGCAGCTTGGCGAGTATTTCCAGAACCTATTGCTCCAGAGAACTCATTCCAATATCTACATAATCCTCTCAGAGTCTAGAAAAAACTCTGCCCAAGGAGCTCTGGTAGTGCGGGGCCTTATGTGTTAGTCTGCTAATGGTAGCTTGAATCCACTAGCTGGGACTAAGGT